TCTATTTAAAATATTTATGCGCTTTCTGCCATCCATTTCTGGAAGAATGCAATGCAAAACAAAAGAATCAGTAAATATAAATAGTATTGGTAGGTGCGAAATTGAGGCCACACACTTCTTCTTGTAAATGGAATACTCTGTTAAGTCATTTGCCTATCCATCAATGATGTGAGACTTTGTCATGTAGCTTGCAAATCTCCTGCCAGTACTGCGGGGTGAAATCTTAACCTAGCAATACATTCTTCAGAAGTGTTTCTAATGTCACTTTGTCTCAAACCACCTTCAGACAAATGGAGCGAACAGATGGAAACCTACAGGATAGGAAGACAAGAGCTGCATATTCAAAATAATCACTGTCCAGGCCATATTCCTAATGAAATTGGGTCACATATCTAAACAGAAAAATGTACAAAAGTATTACTATTATTTGGAGTGTGAATTCATTGAATTCATTCTATTCATTGAATCCCTATATATTATGCAAAGCCAAGACAAGCTAAAATCCCCAAGGCAGCGTTTTGATTTTTTTTTGGCATCCACAGAATTTTCTCCCCTTTTAGAATGGTTTCCTCTAACTCATCAACTATACGTTAAAAATGAAATCTCAACACTTGCTGAACTACAGAAAGTGCTTGACTTATGTGTACAGCTCTTTCATCTTTTCTGCCTCTAGGGGGAAGTGTGTTTTCAACAATTCTGTCCCCAGGAAGTATTCTCCTGCTGGCTGCAGGCTTCTCCAAGTTGTCTGTCATGTGATTCTAGGGCTGGTCAGACAAGCCAAAAGAGGCCTGTTGAAAATCTGCATGAGTGTTGACCAAGGAGCTAGCAGCCAGGGTTCCCAGAGAGAAGGGTGACCAGTGGCAGAAACCTCTTTCTGACAGTATTTCTAATACATTTTAAAGACTGTCACATTAGCCTTACTATGTGGCATGGTCTTTCTTGGGTGTAGGGACTTCATTTTGTAGAGTTGTGAAATTCATAATTGAAAACTTGCCAGTTGAAAACTTGCCCCCTTACTTGAGTAAATTTAAGGTCAAAAAACGTTATGGTTTGTGGCTATTAACGAAGGCATTTTAAAATTCTAAAACAAGTGTGTTAGTTTCTAAAGCATTACATTTAGGGCTAACTTTGTTGAGTTTCGAACAGTCAATGTAGTTTGAGTTTGCGACATTTCTCCCATGCCTTTCACTTGGTTAGTGTTTTCTTGAACATGAAAACAGCATTTTTTCCTCCTCCACTCCAGTGTTTTACAGAATAGAAATGAACAACATTTCGATATTTGGGTTTGAGGGATGGATTTTTATTTTTCCTTTTTTCCCCCCTGGTTTTGATTCATTTAAAAAATTAGATGATATTTACATAATTGATTGGGGTGGGAAGGATCCAGGATTAGGGGAAAGTTATCAAAATTATTTTTGAATTTTCTATTTCTTCTTCCTGTTTCTGGGGGGTAGGGGAAGAGATAAGAGGAGAAGCTATACCAAGCCTCCCAACCGCCCCAGTACCCAGGGATGGACAATGGCCACCCAACATCAATCCAGGGTCCTGATGGGCTGTCCACTCCGAGGGTTCTGCCCAGGTGGATGCAATAGTTCTGAAATGCTGTATGTTTCACTCATCTGTGGATGAGGAAGCCCTTCCAAGGTCCATTGGCTGATACAGTCAACCTTAGAATCTCCATTCACCCAGGTATTTGCTGTCATCCTTTGGCTGGGGTAGTTGATCAATTTGTTCTGTTCTCCATTCTCTGCTATGGCACCAGGTGTCCTCTGCAGGTCCCAATGGGCTGCCATATCCTCTGTGTGCATCAGGGTCTGCTGTCCACTGCTCTGTCTTTTCCACTGAGGAGGACCAGTTCTTGCAGGTGGACCCAAAGACCTGGGCCAGGTGACCTGGGCCCCACTGGACCCTCCGATATTGTCATTAAAAAAAAAATCAATGTTAATAAAAAAATTTTAAAAAATCTATTTATCTTTATTGAAAAAGTAGATTTACAGAGAGCACAGACAGAGAGAAAGATCTTTTGTCCACTGGCTCACTCTCCAAATGGCTGCAACCGCCAGAGCTGAGTCGATCTGAAGTCAGGAGCCAGGTATATCTTCCAGGTCTCCCAGTGGGTGCAGGGTCCCAGGGCCATCCTCCACTGCTCTCCCAGACCATAAACAGGGAGCTGGATGGGAAAATGCAGCAGCTAGAATATGGGATCCTGGCATTTGGAAGGTGAGGACTTAGCCACTGAACCATCACACTGGGCTGTTTTGATTAATTTTTATGATCAAAGTGACTGCAAATTTTTTTTATTAGAAAATGATGTTACTTTTGGTGTTATTCTACTGTGTAACCTTGAAAGTTAGCTATATAGAAAATAATGTTTTGATACAAACAATATTATTACTTTAAGTCAGCCTCACCTTCTTCCTGCCTTTTCATGGTATCATAGGTGACACGTTTCAAAAAATAGATGTCTTCTAAAATTTTTATTTATTGTAAAGGGGGATGGGAGAGAGAGAGCAAGAGAGAGCCTTCACTCATTAGTTTACTCCCCAGAAAGCTTAGTCAGCCAGGTCCGGACCCAAGCCAGGGACTTCATTTCGACCTCCCACATGAATGGCAGGAGCCCATGCGTTTCCCCTCTCTTCTCAGGCACATCAGCAGGAAATCGGACTGGAAGCAGAGCATCTGGGACTCAAATTCAGACCTCAGACCAGGGTTTGGGTGACTGACTGTATTGCTTTGGGTGACTCAACCCACTGCACCACAGTCCCAGGCCATGCTCACTGGAATTGTTGAGGGGTCGTTGAGCATCAGTAGTGTGGTATTGTTGGTTTCTCTGGCTTCTGTTTAGTGTGTGTGTGATGGGCCGGGACTGGGGAGCATCCCTTCCACAGCTTGCTCCTGATGCTCTCTGCTGACAAACTGGCGGTGGAAGGTTCCTAGTTAAAGACCACGAGGAGGCTGCTGTGCTCACCCTAACCTAATCGCACTGCCCTGCGGTTAACCCGGGCAGCGCCTGGGATGTGAGATGCGTTTATTCCCGGTCCCGCTGAAACCCCAGACTCTCCGAAGAAGCCCACATCACACACTGCAGACCCAAGTCGCCATTGGCTGGGATTCTCCAAACCCGGGCGCGCAGAGCAGTAATAGGAAACCTCGATCCCTTCACGTCGCCTGGCAACTGGTTTCGAAATCCATTAAGACCCTAGGAATTTGGAGTTCAGCCATTCAGCCGTTGTTTCTCTCTCTCTCTCTCTCTCTCTCCTTCTTTCGCTCTCTCCCTCTCCCTCTCCCCCTCCCTCTCTCCTTTTCCTGTTTAAAGTGATAATTCTATAAACAAACGCCCCCCGAGGAGTCCAGGGAGGATTTAGCTGCTGTGAAGCGCGACATCTCAATTTTCCCTGTGTGTGACTTTTTCTGCTTGTGGAATTAGATTTTACATAGCTGTCTCTTGGGCTTAAAAAAAATTTTTTTTTAGCGGCTTTAATTAAATAAATCAAAATTCTCGCAGGACTCAGCAGTTTCTACTTGAATGTGACAAGGTAGGCATCCCAGCCCATAAGGTGAAATCTCCGTGACTCAGAGGATAAAACGTCTCCGGGAATGGCATGTACAGTGCTGGGAAAGGCGATGAGGCGGTGGCGCTCGCTGCTGCCACAAGCCCCGGCAAGCCCAATTTGCCTTCTCACACGCAGGAGCGCACGCAGCGCCCCGGGCGGTGGCCCCAGGGTTCGGAGTCGCGAGAAAGTTTCTGCCGAAAGAGGGCGTTGGTCTAAGAGGAATCGTGAAGTGTGCCCGTGGGCGCCCCAGGCAAGCCACAGAACGTTCTCAAACATTTTTCAATTTATTTTAACTTGCGGGTTTTAGGCTTCAGGGTTACCCATCCAACCTAGCACGTTCCCTCTTCCCCACGCCCCCAGCACACTCCTTGAGTCAGACCGTGCCATGCCTACCTGCCCAGCCACGCCGCTGCTCCCCCGACTGGGGAGCAGCTCCATGGATCTTTCTATCCCGATCCGTTTGCTCTTTTCCCGGTGGCCAGTGGGAGTTGAGGAGGGGTTGGGGGAGACGTGGGTCTCCGAGGCTGGACCTTTGTTGACATCGCGGATCCCCGAGAGCACAGCGCCTCGCGCGTACCGCGAAGGAGCAGCGTGCGGAGCTCGGCGTGCTGGGGCTGCAAGGACAGCGCGCATCCCTAACCCGGCACCCTCCGGGGAGCGCTCTAGGGAAAGTCGAGCCCTCGCGCTAATTACCTGTTGTAGCAACCCAAGTGCCGGAGGACGCCCGGGGGATGCGTTTCAAGCTGTGTGACACCTCTAGAAGCCGAACTGTTCTCTTGCCTGCGGGAGCAACAAGTTTCGCTTTCAGACTCTCCACACCGGTGGAAACTCCGCGCGAGGGGGACCCGGGACCCCGATACTCGCTGCGACTCCACCGCGAACCCGCGCGGCCTGAGAGGGAGGGGGTCGGAGCGGGGCAGGGGCACACGGGAGATCGGGAGACGTGCGCGCCAGCTCCACATACCAGGTTTGCAATGGAGCCGTCTGCGCCCGGACCTTGGTCCTGGTTCCCTGACCTTGCGCCGGGCACCAGGGGAGGTCAGGTGCCGGCCTGTATTTCGTGCATCCGGTGCAAGAAAAAAGGTGAGAGCGGGAACCTACTGATTTGCTTTTTCTTTGTAACTTAAAGAACCATTTCTGGAAACACCTCGTCTTCCAACCCTGTTGTTTTGTGTGCGTGTGTGCACTGCTGTGCTTTCAAACACTTTTGCTTTCCTTTCCCGGGAGAGGTGGCGATCGCCTAAGCGCGCGGCGCAGCTGGGCATTGGCGTCTTTAAGGCCGAAGGCAGAGGCGGGCCAGAGAGAAGTGGGTGTCCGCGACCCGGGAGAGCCGGGCAGGGAAGGGGTGCGGGGAGGAGCCCTGATGTAAGAATGTTAATGAGAGGCTCCCCCAGCCCAGCCCCCACCTCCGTCACCCGCATCCACCCCACCCGCTGGAAACACAAGCCCGGCCCGGGCGCGCCATGTGTGGTAACGCGCGCCGCCGCTGCCACGCTATTTAAACGCGGGCTGCGCATCCAGGAACCGGCGCGAATCAATGAGATCAAACGCGAGGGAGATGCACCGTCTATTACAAACACTCGGACAAGTCTAACTTTTTTTTTTCTCTTTGACAAATGCGCTTCCAAAGGCAACCTTAGCAACGCCCAAATAAGGAGCCACCTCTAAGCAAAATAGTATATATATCCAGGAAGGGCGAAAATATATGTTTATAATAAGTGTATGTGTATATTACAGACGCACAGGTTTTGACACTCGGTGAACTTTTTCTATTTTTTTTTTCTTAAAACAACAACAACAACCAACCGTGACACTGCAGAGGACTCTTCCTCTCTGTCTTTTGGCGCGTTTGTGAAGGGGTCTTCGGTTTCCTTGGAGCGCCCAGGGAGGCGCAGGGACCTCGGAGAGAAGAGTGGGGAGGACAGAGGGAGGTGGGTGGGGGGCCGAGGACCAGTCGGCGCGGAGGGCCAGCACTTTCTGGTCGCACGATGCCGTCGCTGCTGGCGTTCACTTTCTCCGTGTGCGCCCTGTTCGGCTGGGCGTCGCTGGCCGGAGGCGCGGGTGGCGGCGGCGGCGGGGGCCCGGGCCCGGGCGGCGGGCGCCGGGAGCGAGAGGCGCTGGCGCCGCAGAAGATCGAGGTGCTGGTGCTTTTGCCCCGGGACGACTCGTACTTGTTCTCGCTGGCTCGGGTGCGGCCGGCCATCGAGTACGCGCTGCGCACGGTGGAGGGCAACAGCACCGGCAGGCGCCTTCTGCCGCCCGGCACTCGCTTCCAGGTGGCCTACGAAGACTCAGACTGCGGCAACCGCGCGCTCTTCACCCTGGTGGACCGCGTGGCGGCGGCGCGCGGCGCCAAGCCCGACCTCATCCTGGGGCCAGTGTGCGAGTACGCGGCGGCTCCGGTGGCCCGGCTTGCGTCGCACTGGGACCTGCCCATGCTGTCGGCCGGAGCCCTGGCCGCCGGCTTCCAACACAAGGACTCCGAATACTCGCACCTCACGCGCGTGGCACCAGCCTACGCCAAGATGGGCGAAATGATGCTAGCTCTATTCCGCCATCACCACTGGAACCGCGCCGCGCTGGTTTACAGCGATGACAAGTTGGAGCGGAACTGCTACTTCGCTCTCGAGGGCGTCCACGAGGTCTTCCAGGAGGAGGGCTTGCACACGTCCTCCTACAACTTCGACGAGACCAGAGATCTGGATGTGGACGACATCGTGCGCTACATTCAGGCCAGCGAACGAGGTGAGCAGGAGCGAGTCTCGGGCCGTCGGCCCTAACCCAGCTGGCTCTCCCCACGCACTGGCCCACTCCTCTGAGGACTCTAGGAAGCCCCTCGGTGGCGCTGAGGATTAGGGAAGGAGGACTGAGTTTAGGTGTGCGCTTTCTGGTCGAGCGGACCTCCGCGGGTCGTTGCGCGCGGTGGAAGGGTCCCCGGGAAAGGAACAGGACCCCTGCTTGCCAGGATCCAACAGGTGCTGTCGAACCACCTGGGTTCCACCCCCTTGGTCTTTCCGGGTTCGCTGGCCAGTGGGGGCGCACTTTCGGTGCTAGCTGCCAGAAGAATTTGCCCAGTCTTCGGCTGGGCGTGCGCGCCCTTTGAGCGCAGAAGCGGCGACCGCCGTGCAGCTCTGCGCTCGCTGCTCGGCTAGTCCCGGTGCCCGGGTTTCCCTGGCTGGTCTTTCCACAGACTCAGGTTTCTTTTAAAGGCTCATTGTATCACCCTTACAATGCCTCCCCTAGTCCCTTCCACGCCCTTATAATTGAGTTTCTGTGATTTGCACCAAAAAGCCCTGTCTATGTCTGGACTCCGGAGGCACTCTTTTGCTCTGGGGGCCTCCACCTCCCCAAAGCGTTTGGCCTCTCGGTTTTCCAAGTGCCAGGAGCTAGGCTTGACTAGGCCATGGGCGCTGCATGTTCCTCCTTTCCCTTGGGCCCCCTTGCTCCCACCAAGGTGTCTCTGCAGACCTCCAGGGGGTTGGAATAATAACAAAACTGCACGGAAAGCTCAAGGTTGGGGAATGGTGGTTATGGCTACGGGGCTGGGCAGTGCCCTGTGCAGCCAATTTGTCTGCAGGGGAGCCTCGGGGCTGCCTCGGGGCAGTCGCCTCCTGGCATCAGGGCTGGGCGCCCGGGGCGGGGAGGGGAGGGCACTGTGCGCAATCCCACCTCAGCTCCTGGTTGAGGTGGGGCCCCGGCAGAACTGCCAGCGATCCCGTTGCCACTAGCAAAACTGAGCCAGGCAAAGGGCTCGGCCACAGCTCGGCACTGTTGGGTACTTGGAGCGCTGCCCTGGGCTAGGAGCCTCCCAACAGGTGAAGAGGGCGGGGAAGCCAGAGAGAGTAGGGTTGCTACCAACTCCTCTTCCCAGTTTGGTCACCTCCAAACGCACCCTGTGGAGGTGTAGACAGTGGGGATACGTGGCCAGGGTTGGAGCGTACCCCCAGGCTGGTAGTGTCCAATCCCTGTCGGCCAAGCGGGCGGGGCGCGGGCTTCGCTGATTACGAAACAGGGCGATTACGCGCTGTGGCCTCACTACACCGGCAGGAACAGGGACATGTCCACGTCACCTCAGTCCCAGTCAGTCTGTCCTTTGGCTGCCAGGACTAGCTGCCTTCAAGTAGGCTGTTTTCACCGACTGGCTGGGCTGGAGTTGGAGAACAGGCTGGGGTTGAGGGCGCGTCATCCCTTCAATGAAATCTGCGTGTATGAACACAGTGCCTTAGGTCCCGAGAGCGGTCACCACAGCGCACATCGCCTGGGGCGCTACGCAGAATGGGTTTGTCTGACCAAGTGAGGGTTGATCGGGGCTACCGGGGCCCTCGTTCTTACAGCGGTGACCGAGGTCAGGGAGCAGTGTCTTGTGAGCTTGGGGACTGGTGCACCTGGCTTCAGAGAACTTGGGTCGAATCCTGCTGCAGATTCATTCTTTTTTTCTTTTTAATCTCCAAAGCCTCATATGTGTTCCAAAGTTGGTGTGTGTGTATGTGTGTTTCCCTCCCAAGGTTGAATTTAGTAGTGGAAGCTACCTCTGAAGTGTGCATTTTAGAGGTGGTAGGGTTATAGTTTTTTATTCCTATTTTAAGATGTCTCTCCACATATCCTGATAGAGCTTAGAAATGTGGGGCAATAGCTTCTCCTCTGGGTTTCTTTGACACCCCTCCCTTCACTCCTGAAATTCTTTGCTCTCAGGACAGACAGCTGTTGGATGACAGAACTCCTTCAGGGGACATCTGCAGTGTGTGTGTTCAATAAGAGTTGAGGATACAGGCTCAGTGCCATCCTGGTGCTCAACCCCTCAGCTTTGGAGTGCTGGGAGGACTAAAGGACACCCACAGCATGCACCAAAAATGTGCAAGGCACTTACCAAGTGCTGAGTCAACTTGAGGCTTTATTGTAGCTGTTCTTATTTCATAGGTATGAGGCTGAGCTGTGGAAGGAGCCTGGGCCAGAGGCAGGTGTGTCTGGGCCTGTGGTTTCCCTGCAGCAGCTTGTGGCCTGTACCAGGCGCTGGCTTTCTCTGAGCCCAGGTCGGATGAGAATGGGGCATCTTCTGATTGCACTGCCTTAGAGGGAATACCAGCAAAGTCGAGAAGAGCTCCTTTCCATACACACTTCTTGGACAGAATGGTTTTAGCAGTGTTTTGGGCTTAAGTTCATCTTTAAAGTCAAGTCACAGATATTTGAGTGTCTTTTTAAAAAAGATTTATTTTATTTTTATTCCCAAGTCAGATATACAGGGAGGAGGAGAGAAAGAGAGAACAATCTTCAGTCTCCTGATTCACTCCCTAAGTGGCTGCCATGGCTGGAGCTGAGCCAATCCGAAGCCAGGAGCCGGGAGCCTTTTCCAGGTCTCCCACATGGGTGCAGGTCCCAAGGCTTTGGGCCGTCCTTGGCTGCTTTCCCAGGCTGTAGCACAGATCCCCCAAAGAGAGTAGAGCTCTGTGGGCTGTAACCACAGCTCTGCAGATGAAATCCATTGCTCTTGGTTAGAGCATCTTTGGAAAAAATGGATTTTTCTTTTTAGTTACCCAACTACATAAAGTTACATTATACAAGTCTTAGTAGAGAAAGCAGCTTCCCATCTCTTGTACCTCACTTTGTAACTTTAAGAGGTTTATGTGAAAGTCAGAGTTAGAGAGAATGAATCTTGCATTTGTTGGTTCATTCCCTAGCTGATCACAGCATCCAGGGCTGGCTCAGACCAAAGCCAGGAGTTTTATCAGGGGCTCTCCCATGGGTGACAGGGGGCCCAAACACTTGGCCCATCTTCTGCTGCCTTTCCTAGGCCATTAACAGGGAGGTGAATTGGAAGTGTAGATGCCAGGGCATGAACTGGCACTTCATATGGGATGACAGTATTACAGGTGCAGGAGTCAGATGGGGAATGTGCACACATCCTTTTTACTATTGATAGAACTGATTGAACATGGATTTGCATCTATTGCTAAAGGGGTTTTCTAGCTACTACTTCCCCCACAAATTAGGCAGGAATAGTCACTAAGTCACAGAGAGTGCAGCTCACTGGCAAGTCCTCTCTTACAGTGAAGGTCCCTTTCCATGTGACACAGTGGCTGGTAAAAACTTTGCTCTCTGCAATCAGGCATGCCTCAAAGAGGAAGGCAGACAAGCCTGAGTCCAGTAGGCCCAGTTAGTTCCTCCAGGCTCACCATTTGGACAGTTCATTCCTTTTCCTTTTTTTGGGGTTTAGGGGAAGGAGATGGAAGTTATATATTTTGAGAGAGATATGGGCTGTTAACTCACTAGCCATTGCTCCAGTGGGACACCTGAGGCTGAGGGCATGATAGTCCCTTGACCCGGTTTATCACCTGGGATGCTGTTGGTTTTCTGAGTTGACTTCTGTGGCCATTCCTCTGCTCTTGTACCTGCCCTTCCTAGAGTGACTGTGAGAGTGTGTTGCCATAGTGACAGGTCCTTTCCAGAAGGTGCTGTGGGAACCAGGTGGTGGGGCTGGACCAAAAGCTCACTAGGTCCACAGCAAGGAGCAGGATGAAGATAAGCTTACCAGACATGTAACATCACTGCCCTGCCTCTTCAGTTTAATAAAAATTAATTTTTAGCAATCCTAAATAGAACAGAACACAGAGGGGCCTCCCAGATCTGCAGGGATGTAGTTTGTAGGACTAGTGCATGTCCTCTCTTTTCATCTGTGGATCTTGCTGACTCTTGGCAGGTGTGGGCATCCTGCGTAGGCCACGTGTGTTCCAGACCTGTCTCCAAAGCTTTCATGGCAGCTGTGTTTACCTTAACTATTATGTCACCTTAATTATTATGAGGAGGTCTTCAAAACGTACATGGACAATGTTCTCTATGAAAAACTCTGGGTGGATTTCAATATTTCTTATATCTAAATAAAATTATTGAAAAAAATCTGAACTTTTTGAAGTACTTGATGTGTAAACAGAAAACTGATGGAATGGGAGTAAGAGGGAAAATCTGTTTCAACAAAAGCTGTTTTAATTCTTTGATAGATTGTCTAAAGGCCAGTTACTAAAAAATACCCAGTGTTCAATTAGGCATGAATGAGATGGCCAGGATAGGCTGGGGAGCGCCATGAAAATTAGGGTTCTGCTCTCTGTCTTGCCCATATCCTGAAAGTACTTGCTTCAGTCTGAACTGAAACTGCATGATAACGTGCCTTGTGGGTATTTTTTTTTTTTTCTGAGAGTGCCCTGTGCATGAACTTGGAAATCAGAGTTAAACCACATTTTCAATACAAAATGGACAGAATCTAAAACACCAGTAGTCTATTCAGGTAACGCATGCTACTCTGTCCCTCTGGCTAAGTAGCTGCCAACATTTTTCCATCAAACAGCCCAGTGGTGATGATGATGATGGGGGCAGGGCGAGAGAAGAGACAGGCTGGAAATGAACAAGTAGAAGAGCCGTCATGGCTGGGGTTGGACAGGACCCAGCTGGCACTTGGGGAAGCTTGTGCCATGTGGCTCTAGGACATAGTTTGTTCTGTCCCAGACCTGGTCCATCTTTCAGCTGTGGGCTTAGCCTCCCCATAGCCCAGGGCCCTGAACCCCTGATCTTACAGCTTACTGCCCGGTCTATGATTTCACCCCCACCATTACCCTGCTGATTGACTCCCCAGTTAGCATGTCCACTTACAGAGCTTCCTGACGCAAACCTGCTTGTCACTGACTTCAAGTAACCTCTAGTTCAAGTGACCTAGACATGTCTTGAGTTAGTTCACTGGGAATCTGCCCCTCCATGATATGTCTACTTTCTCTCTATGTGCTCAAGGAAGAAGATTCTGGGTCTTGGGAATGAGACCCAGACCATGCACTTGGCTCAGTTCATCCAAAAATGGATAGAGCTGCCTGGGGGGCAGCCGACCTGAGCTCTTTGGGACCAACACCTTGGAGAGGCCTACTTTCCCTGCTGGTTTAGCCTCAGCTGCTTGTTGGCTGCTCTGTCCCATGCTTTGGGCCCCTTTCTCACCCAAGATGCTGGAATCAAATCAGTGCTAAAACAAAAGTCAAGATCATCATACATGGATGTTCCTTTGAAAGCTTCTTTACTGAGGCCTTTTCAAATTTGGTTATCTATCATAATTCTAGTAGTGGATTTCCAGGCACAAAGGACACCCTCTCCCGTGGTTACAGTCCTTGAGGGGCTTCACATTGTTTTGAAAGCTGGTCCTCCTTTGTACCTGGCACAAGGAGCCCTTTTGTCACGGGAAATGTCAGAGTTGTGATGGGACACTGAGTTTAAGCTAAAGGTCAACACCAGCTGATCCATCCCTGCAGGTTGCCAAGGCCATATTAACACAGCGTGCAGTTTGTTCTACGCCTTTCAGCACCTGTGCTCTTACAAAGAACATGCACACCTCAGAGGGCTGGCATTCATCATGATAATGTGGATAGAGTGCCCAGGGCTGGGCAAGCTTTGCCTCCGCCCACTCCGCGGGGTGCATGTGTGGCGGCCAAGCACGGTCTGGTCTTTGGGCCTGGGGACCATCTGCTGCGAACAGATTCCCTGGATACTGGCCAGGCCCCCAACTTCGCGGCGCCCCTGCAGCTTTTATGGGTCAGGCCAAAAATCTTCTGGAATTGCTTAAAGCCCTTATATCTGAAGTGTAGGCATGAGCCGAGAGAACGTGGGGGAGGGACCTGGAATCTGCGTGAGGATTTCCTGTGCCTATGGAGACAAGCGGAGGACGTCTTCTTCAAGTGCAGGCAGCACAAAGCCATGGCACTCACTGCAACTTGTTTGCCAGAGCAATATTTTCTCTCGGATTCTGTGTTTGCTTTTCCAGGAAAATGCTATTTTTTGTGCTATTAAGTAGCGAGACCAGGTGGCCCTTTTCACTGTCTTACATTGGTCTAATCTAATGATTTGATGAATTAAAAAAATTTAAAAATCATTTCATTTTATTGAAAATGATGTGAATACATTTGAAACATCTCTGTACAACCTCCATTCCTGGATTTTCATCAATTGTCAATAATTTGCTGCATTTGCTTTTTCATTCCAAATCTCTCCCTGTTCTTTTTCTTTCTCTCCCCACCCCCACTTGCTAATATGCATACATATGCATAAATATTCAGTCTTCAAAAAGCTCATGGAAAACACATTATGAAAGAACTGTACATGGATTTACATTTCTTGCAGTAAAACACACTTCTCTTTTAGTTCTATTTTTCCATTAGCTTTTGGATATACTCTCATAGTCACCCAGAGAATTCTATCTTTTCACGAACTGTTTGAGAGTAAAGACAAAATTATGTTTAAAAAAGCCTTGATTTGAAAGCTAGAGTGAGAGGGAGAGACAGAGAAGAAGGAAGAGAAATCTTCTACCCACTGATCCCCTCCTCAAACAGTTGGGGTTAGGCCAGGCCAAGGTCAGGAGCCAGGCGCTCCATGTGGATCTCCTCCATCATCAGCAGGGCCTGAGTACTTGGGCCATTATTTGCTGCCTCCCAGGTGTCTTAGCAGGAAGCTGGATCAGAAGTGCAAAGTAGCCAGGACTCTAGCTGGCACTCGGGTTTAACCTGCAGAGCCAGGACCCTACTTCCTTCTCCTTAGTGCTTGAAAGAGCCAGGCTGTTCACTGTCGTAACAACAGCGTTCAGTATGAAGGACACGAGTTTCCACACAAATCATTCCATGTTCTAGTTCACAGACCTTAGGCAAATTTCACTAGTTGTGTCAGAGTGACCTTTAAAATAAAGCTTTGACTTACTTGTGTTTTTAAGGCCCAGAATCCACTCCAGTATCACCTATTGCTTGTAACATTCTGCTTCTCTAAGTTGCTTTCTCCCCAGAACCTTCCTCAATGCATCTTTGTCATGTAGTTCAACTGCTCTGCAGGTGCTCTCAGGCTGGGTTTGCACGAGATGAGATGTGGGCTGCCTTTATTTATGCCTCCTGTCCTCTTCGCGTTGCAGCAGGAGGCCTTTGTTGTTGGGTGTCTGTGTTGATCTCTGTCACCTGGTGCTTGTTTGCCTAGTTCTAGCAGAACTACTGTTTTCTTCCCCCCTTGTCAGTCCTGCCATATCTGTTGGTTTCCTTTCCAATGCTTTCAGTTATTTACAATCGATTATGTTAAATATATTGTATGGAATGTTCCAGAAGGAAATAATTCATACTTTTTTTGGTTACTTTTATGACAGTACACTGTTATAAGGATCCCATTTTATCACTCACTACTCTTGTTGCTCCTCTCTTACTGAGCCTAACTTTTTAAAAAAAATTTTAGTTTTTTCTATATAATTGAGAGGGATGTATGACCATGTGGGACTCTGATTAGGGTTGGAAAGGTCAGGTATGGAGGAAGATGGGTGGGACAAATGCTTTAATTTTCTTCTCCTGTGTCTACAGGGGAGGAGGGGCAGGAGGCTACTCCTTGCTGTCACACTGCATTAGCACCCCAGAATGGGGGACGGTCATTTGGTAATCCCTTATTGACCCCGATGTGTGGAAGAGTGTTCTGAGGGTGTTATTTGAATGATTTTGAAAGTTCTGAGAAGTTGTTGATTTCATTGCTCCATGGCTGAGAAAATCTTTCCAAGATCTGTTGGTTAACCAAGTTTATCCTAGTGCATCCACAGACCCAGGAACATGCTGCTAGCTTGACCAGGAACATTGTCCAACCTGTTCTGCTTTTCATCCTCTGATGAGGCAGTTGATGTCCCCTACTGACCTAGTTGAGCTGGTCGTCATGCCCCTGTGTGCATCTGAGCATGCCGATCGCTGCACAGGCATCAGCAGTGGTGAAGGCCCAGTCACGATACACACACTCCAAGCAGTGAGCCTGAATTTTATCACTGTCTGCGTAAGGTTTTGGTGCTATTCATGTTTTTTTTTTTTTTCAGGCATTTGTTAGGGGTCCTGGGACGCATCGCTTGAGAGGCTATAGCCCATGTCCTGGGTGAGCTGTGTCGTGCAGTGTCTCATGAGTGTCCTCTGTTCCTCCTCCAGTGGTAATCATGTGTGCGAGTGGTGACACGATCCGGAGCATCATGCTGGCAGCTCACAGACATGGCATGACGGGTGGAGACTACGCCTTCTTCAACATCGAGCTCTTCAACAGCTCTTCCTACGGTAACTCTGCTAAGGGCTTACCTGTCTGCTGCAGAGGTGTCAGAGAGGGGCTCCAAGGAAGGTGCAGAAACTGCAGCTTTTCCCCTTCTGTGAATGTGATTGTGGAAATTTGGGATTCTGCACGTTGGCACAGCTTCAGATAATTTCTCAGGTTTTTCTTTCTGAGACTTCAGTGAGAGTGAGAGAGAGAGAGAGAGAGTGAGAGAGAGAAACCACAAATGCCTGTGAAGTTAAGGAATGCAGCCAGGGGTGGGCATGGACCCATGTGGCCATAAATCCAGACCTCCACGATCCTGGCCCAGTGCTATGACGATTGCAAGTGGCTGCCGTCATCATGGACTATTGAGATAATTTTAGTGTGATGTGGGCCACATTCTTATTGGAACAGGGTATAACACAAAATAGCAGAACATGTCCATATATGTTGTGGTTAGCACATAGGGGTCTTCTAAAAGTTAATAGAAAATGTGTATTATGAAAAATTATGCTTGGATTTTGAGTTTTGAAGTACTCATTATGTGCTGTTTCATGGAATGTTGATTTTAGACACAATTGCCCCCCCCTTTCTTTTATTAATTACATTGCATTATGTGACACAGTTTCATAGGTTCTGGGATTCCCCAAACCCCTCCCCATACCCTTCCCCCCATGGTGGATTCCTCCACCTTGTTGCAGTATTACAGTGCAAATTCAGTCAAGATTCTTTCATTACAAGCAAATACCAAGCATTGAGTCCAGCATCTTATTGTCCAGATAAATTCAATGATTTCTTGGGGAGACCATCTCTGGTCTGAAGGCAGAGCTGGCAGAATATCATCCCAATCAATGAAATTCCCAATATAACACCAACAACAATTTACAACATTATGGAATTAATTGACATGGTATTGAGTAACCAATATGTTAAAAAATGTAAGTTCTTAACTATATCCTGTGACTACTTCATTGACATTTCAATTTTAGTTCATATACACTTGGCTTCTATACACCTTAAAATGGCTATAGGGTACTATTCAGTTGTCTTGTGTCTATTTTCATTTTAGTATTTAGCAGTTTATAGTGTTGAAGCATAATTTTACTGAACTTGGCAGATTTTAGGATAGTCTAAACCGGCTTATAACTCTAACAAGGCATATGAATTGACCCTTAATTTACTCTAGGGTTAGGTCCCAATTAAACTATTGGAAAGTGGAAAAATCATAAATCAAAACTACAGTACATCAGAACTGTGCGTATAAATGCATTTATGGATGTTGCACATGCATTGGCCCTGGATATCAATGTAAAATACTATTAATGTGAATTGAGGTGAAAATCTTTCACCTTCCAGCCCCCTTCTTTTCTGCATTATTGTGTCTTAAACCTTTCCTCTAGAAAATCAGGAACAGCAAGATTCAGACTGGGAACCATTGAACTCTTTCTGTTGTGTCTGGGGAAGTTTGCAAGAGTCACATGATGGAGATGGTTTAAGGAGGCTAAAACGTGTGAGTGTGGCCAGGGCTTTCCCTGCAGTGAACGGAGTGGAGCTACCGAATGTCACATCAAGTTCTGCATGCAGCTGCTGCAAGCTGAGAAGCTACAGGGCAGGGTCAGTGTGCCTATCGCAAGGGGCATATTTATCCTGAACTCCACTTCCCCGTCCTTGCTGCTTAGACCCGCTTTGACCGGATCTGAACCTTAAAACATACACCCCGGTTTCCTGTCCTGATACGCTGGCTTGCTCAAGCAGTAGCTCATTGTGTGTATATAGATAATAAAACACACTTCTTGTGGGGATAAAGAGAAGTTGATGAAACAAAAGTAGCCCCCACTTCCTGTAGTGGATAAAACTGGAGATTTGAGACTTGTAGGATAAACACCCCCTTTTGTTTTCTGGCCTCCCCCCAACTTGCCTACTTGTTGCTCTTTCCTTCCTGTAAACACAGTGATGGTTTGGCTCAAGATCAGGACACCATTACGCACTACTGAATCTATTGAGAGAGTTGCAGTGGTTGGTAAAAATGAATAACATTGGTTCTGAGTTTTTGCATGGTGGCAGTTTCACACGCAGAATGCAGAGGTGAGTTCATGCTACAAATGCACACGTGTGTTGATTATGGGCACTCACCTGTACTGGGCGCCTAGTACACATGCATGTATTAACTGCCAGAATTTCTTCCCTGCACAGTTAAAGGTTGTATTCCTTTTCTAACTTACCTCATGCATTCCAAAATGAGAACGCGTAGACTTCAAAAAATTTTGCACTCAGAACAAACATATCTTTGAATTCCTTTGGCCTTGAACTTTTTGAAATACCCTTAGAAATGTTACAGAAAATTTGGAAAACATAGAAAAGCGCAGGGAAGAAAGCGAGTACTGCAGTTCTGCTCCACATAAAAATGCAGTGTTAATTTTTGGAAGTACAGGCATCTTTATGTATATTAGAGATATATACATTTCTACAGAAATATTTTCAATTAAATGATCATGTTATTTATAGTACAGCTGTGTAGGATTATGTAATGTTAACATACCATCTTTAATCCATGTCTTTATGTTCAATATTTATGTTGTTCCCAGCTCTTGGCGATTAAGAGCCATACTATGTTGAGTAGCCTTGTGTGTGTCCATACACACACACACACACATACACACGCACGCACATATTCACATATTTATTCAGCTCTAGTAGCCGTTGGAGTCATTTCTAGAAGTAGAATTACTGGTGAGGATTGTGCATATTTGGGTTTTGATGACTATTGCTAAGTTGTCCTCTGGAGGTCTTTACCAGTTTGCACTTCTGAGATGGTCTCTTTTCCTACATCTTTGTTAATCCTGCATTATCTACAAATAACTAATTTTCTTTTTGTTTTGAGTTTCCTTTTATGGTCATCTCCATAAACAAAGTTTTGCAGTTTTCAATGCATGAATTTATTAGATAATTTGAAATTTCAGTGACATAAGGCAAACTATTTCAAAGTGAATAATTCTGTAGCCCTTAGGACAATCACAATGTTGTGCAAATGCCACCTTCCAATGGATGTGACTTTTAAATAAGTAAAAACAAACAAAATTTTAAAGAATGTTTCAAAAATAAATTTATATTATCTTTAATTGCTAAATCATAACTGTATTACATTTATAATTTAATACAATGTGATGTTCTGACATATACAATGTAGAATGATTGAATCTGCAAATTAACATTGTCTATCATTTTATTCACTTAACATATTTTTGTGAATCTACACTTGAAATTTACTTTCTTAATTATTTGGAAATATATGATCCCCTTCTGTATCATTCTTATTGAGCTTATTCTTAGGGATTTTATTTATTAAAAAATTACTTGCAATTCACAGAGAAAGTGTTCCTATGTGCTTGTTTGTTCCTCAAACATCCACAAGGACCTTGTCTGGGCTGGAGCCCAGAGCAGGAGCCTTGAACTCAAGCTGGATCTCCCATCTGGGTGAGGAAGACCTGGTCCTTGAGCCATCACTTGCTGAAAGCGTGCTATACATGAACAGAAAGCTGAGAATTAAGCCCAGACACTCCGATGGAGGAGGCAGGTGTCCCGAGTGATGAATTCCTAAGTCTTCACCTTTGAGGTGGCCATAACATTGTAGAATATCTCTCAGTTTAGAGCTATCTGATATTTTCCCACAAGAAGAACTGAGAATATACATTTTTGGCAAGAATTCTACAGAGGTGATCTTGTGAGCACGTTGGTGGACACATGATGTGTGCAAGGACCAGTGCAAAAAAAACACAAAGTCCTGCCCATAATGTGACTTACTGTGACTGACGTCCAGACAAGTTTTAAAATTCAGCGTTCTGCAAGTTGAGTTTTCCTGCTTCTTGAAAACTCCATTGCCCAGAGTCACACAAAGTGTGGAGTGTTTCTGAGTGAAGGTGCTTCATGTTTCCTTTCACAGGGTGGCTGCTCAGCCCCTGGGCTGTGGTCTTTCTGTAAGTGTGTGCTGCAGTTACACTCTGTGACTGCAGCTAAGGTTTAAAACTCTGGCCACAAAAAACTCTGGCCACCTGACTCAACCCTGTCCTTCTCCCAAAGCCTCCCTTCCTTTCAAGGCTAAGGATTGTTTTTTTTTTTAATCAAATGATATAAGACTGGACAATAAATGAGGGGATGTATGTGAAATACCCAACAAACTTCCTGGCCCATTGTAACGGTTGGAAATGTTAGTTGTATTCGCAACTAGTCTTCATTTATTTTGACCATTATGTGTAATATTTGAAATATATAAGAAGTTTGCATATTTTTTTCTATGATGATAATATTCTAAATAAATTTAGGATCATCCATTCTGTTCCCAAGTTAGCCAGTTTTTATGATATATACAGACAAGTTAGGAATAGAATTTGCACTGGGTAACCAAGACACTGTCCATGGAGATGTAAACAAAGGTGGAGGTTTATTGTCTCAATCTCTCATTCATTCCAGAGATCAGAAGTCTGGCTAGGAATGACGCAGCCATTCTGATTACCTCTCCTCTCAGTCTTTGTGTGTAATGTCCCTTCTTAAGCTTCCAGAGGGCTTTCAGGGCCCAGGGGTTGTGGGGACAAGGCCATGGGGGAAAGACCAGAGCTGCAGAAGAGGCTCTCCCTGTGGGCTTGGTTCTCTTGGAAGGACTCTTCTGGAAGCCTTACTCATCAGCATTTCCTTCTGGTCTTTGGCTTCTAGTTGCATGGGAGGTCAGGAAGTGCATGCCTTCAGCTAGACTCACAGATGTGCTAAATCGTTTCAGAAACCAGTCACTATGGGAGACGGGGGAATGGTGTAGGGAGTCAGCTATCCTTGTCCTCCACCATGCCTGAGGCTCCCCCCTTCTTGGGGGTGGAATCACATGGTGGATGGAAGGATGTAGACGGGGATTCTGGTGGCTGTCATTAGGAAAGGGCCTTTGTGAGATGTTATGTTTTCATCATTACATCTTCAACATCCACCTCTCACGTTATGTTTGTTCTAGACAAAGACTTCTATTTTAATTGATGCTCAGTACTGTTTTTTTTTTAAATATACTGATAGTGTGTCCATTTTTATTATTTACAAGATTGTTTGGCCTTGGTTAATCTCAAAAGAATTCTCAGATTTGCTCAAATTGTATGGTTATAACAGTTCAGTGAGTAATAAATAATGAGACAATAACTCAGGTAATTGAGAAGGCTTAAAAGACAAGTTTAAAAGATATAGAGGGAGGATCATACATACTTCCCTATGAAGTTTTTAATTACACCTATTGGCATTCTCATAATGTGAATTATGTGGAAAGTTACTTGGGTGAGCCTGGATGGAGTTATTAAGACGATTCTAGAACTTTGCAGCCTCCCTAAGTGCTTAGAGGGTACCAGAGAAAGTGAAGGCAGAAACACTGTAGAGATTGGTGATACACACAAGTTAAATCACTTGGCTAAGAGTAGAAAATTAACAGAAAAACTGGGGAGGGACTGGACTTCCGATGTTTTGCCACAAAAGTGATACTTGCACATTGAAGTCAATTTAGAAGAAAGAGAAAAGGAGAAGAATGCTTACACAATCCTTCAACTGTCACAGTTGCTAAACCGCATTTGGGTGTTTCTTTCTGTAATATTTTTTTTCCCACTGCTACTTTAATTTTTCTCCTATATTTCTTGTTATCAACAGCATGTGCAATCTTATTAAACATTTTTTTTTTAAATTGACACATAACACGGTATGGGGGCGGGTGTGGAGAGTGAGAGGGAGAGAGATTTTCTATCCTGTGGTTCTTTTCCTAAGTGCCTGCAACAGTACAGCAGGGGCAGGATGAAGGCAGGAGCCAGGAACTCAATCCACGTTTCTCATTGGGGTGGCAAGGACTCCATGCTTGAGTCATGGTCTTCTGCCACAGAGCTAGAGCCAGCAGCAAAGCTGTGACTTGGGGTGTTCCAGGGTGGTCTCCCCTTGGATTTAGGGTGACTCTTGGTGCAATTGTCAGCTCTGTGCCTGCCTGACTCCTCCTCATCTGCCTGGCTTTGCAATCTCTTCTGGCAATTGTCCCATCTTCCTATCTCCTTGGTGTGGTCTGGGCCGGGCCTCTCTCTGCGTTGTTTCTCATTCCCTAATGGCCGCAGAGTATGTTGACATTCCTCCCGCACAGTGCTTGCTTTCATTTTGGATGGCTCCACCTCTTTTTATGATTATAAAAGTTTTTACTATTAAACTTTTACTATATTCAAGAAAATGACAACAACAAAAAAATAAAGGGAACTTGTGCCTAATTTTAACCATGCAGAGAACCATTTATAACATTTTTGATGCATGACTTCCCCCATAGGACCTCTCACAACCTCTTGCCTGGATGACCGTGGCTGTGAATGCTCAGTGTCTCCCCACTCTAATCCGCTGCTATTTCCCAAGGCGTAATTCTCTTCATGTCACTCTTCTGTTCCGCCTATAAATCTCCAGAGGCACCCAGTTGTCTATGGAATTAAATTTGTCCCCACTGATGGAACATCATGCCAACTTGACTTAGTACGTAGCAGCCCTGATCGGGGAGATGTTACCGAAGACAGCGCAGTCAGAAACGCCCACAAAAGTTGGAAGTCTCACTACCACTATTTAGCTTGACTTACATTTATCAAGTTACTGTTTACTACCTCCTTTTTTTTTTTTTAAACTCACAAACAGAACTCTGATCCTATCACCTTTTAGACTCTAGTCGACAGATTTCTTGAACTAGATTTTACGTCTTTCGGTAGCAGAGATGAGTGGTGTTTGCAATTCTCTGTGTGTTTTCTAGCTGTACAGGTAAAGCCATAGGGAGTTGACCATTGCCCTTCCATGACCCAGGGGAGAAGGCTCCCCAAGGGTTGAAATTCTGGCTCTCTTTGCCTGAGAAACATCAGCTCTGCAGAGTCTGATGTCTCCATCAATGAAAAGTGAGCCAGTGACTGTTGACTGAGTGTCTCCAGGAGCCGGGCTCCTGCACATCATGAAAATATTCTTAGAATTTGGTGTCTTTCAGGCCAATGGATGCAGCCCTTGGACAAATACACCACTGTGTGTGTCTTGGGATGCAGTACCCACCCAACCTCCTGCACCTGATTACAGTGGAGCCCCACACACGGGCTCCCTCACACAGGACTGGCTCTGCTCATGCTCATCTCTGTAGGACTCGGGAGGCGTCACCGGAGAGGAGGAGGACTTGGTTTGGTGGCTTGAAATTTCATCTGGTGCTGATTGAGCCAGGGTGTGGTCCTTATGAATTCTGTCCTTAGCTCAGTCCTATTTATTTTTTAGCAGCTCCCTAACATATACGATAAGCAGTTAATATAAGGCTTGCTATGACTAGAGTAAGGAGGATACAGATGCTCTTACAAACACATTCTTTGTCGCTCTGCCTTTTCTTGCACTCCAGCTGTGAGCTGGGTGTCACAGCATTTGCACCTCTGCCTGTGTTCTTGGCTCTGTCTCCTTGGTCTTTGTTAGAATCCCGTTATATTCAGGATGGGGCTAAGGTCTCCTTGTCATGTGAAACGCACCCCTTGGCTATAGCTCATCGCCTTCTCTTCTCTACTCCTTATTGCTTCCTTGTAACCTAGATGCTCCCTGCAGCCTGCTGTTGGGACAGCCCTTCATGGTTACAGGCGGTGGAGCCTGGGACACTGAGGATGCCTACCTTTGCAATCTCACAATCCTGCCTGGAGTTGGTAGTTCACACCTGCAGGTCCCATTTAAGCCCTGACAAATTCCAAGGTCACCTGGCCTTCACTGAAGTTCTAGAAGCAATGAGTGAGCTCCCCACATCTGGCTGCGTGCTTCAGAGATGTTTGCTGCTTAGCTGCTGGGCTTGGGGCATCTTCTGTGGGCTGGGAGTTTCAGGTAAACAGAAAGACTTTGGTAGCTGGGCGCTAGCAGGTTGAATTTTTGAGACGTCCAGGAATAATCATCATATTTCCCAGAAAAAAAAAACCCAGCTTATTCTCAGCAGTTAGAGAGCTGCTTCAATTTTGGGGGCTCCTGCAGGCCAACTGAATTCCCCCAAAATAAAATAAAGAGAACATTGATTCTTGTCCATGTAACTCATCTTTGGTTTCGTGAAGGGAGTGGTCGGTCCCCCACCTTCTAAATAGCTAAGTTCCATCATCCGTGAAAAAGGAGGGACCATGATCATAGGGTTTTGTGAGAATTAACTGTCCTATGTATATAAAACATTCCATAAAAGCACTGTTATAATTATATATATATGCAATTATTATTTTATTATCATAGATCCACTGTAGTCCTCAAGTTTACCTAAGCTACTTTTCACCCAGAAGAGGTGCAAAAAAAAACAAAATACAACACAACAAAATAAAACTGGAGCAATTTCAAGCCTTGTTCTTTTCATGGTGCTAGCTATAGGATGCTTGTGCATATCCATTGATCTGCCTAGCTGTTCTCTGACAAGGTACACTGCAGAACATGAAATTAATAATATTTCACGTATTTCATTAATAACTCGATTAACTTTCCAGCTGCTTGCAGGTATTCAAAAATAGTGAGAAGGGAAAGGAAGAAAAACTTTATTTCCCAAAAACCTCTTGTAGAGTTGCCACTGTGGGGGCTGAAGATCGCAGTTCTGTGGCTAGGACAAGGCAATTACAAGGCCAGAACTTTGTTTTCTCGCTCAGATTTCCAAAGGAGCATGTGTCCAGAGGACCTTGTTTTATCACTTTACACGCAGGTGCATAACTATGACAATACCCCTTAGCCTGGCTGCCAGAGGTCACAGGCAGGGGAACACGTCGCAGGTGGAAAGGGAGCATGGCTGCTTTACGTGACCGGCTTGGAATGAGAAGTGTTTCTGTTTCTCCTGCAGGAGATGGCTCGTGGAGGAGAGGAGACGACTTTGACTTGGACGCGAAGCAGGCATACTCATCCCTCCAGACCATTACTCTCCTGAGGACAGTGAAACCTGAGTTTGAGAAGTTCTCCATGGAGGTGAAAAGTTCTGTTGAGAAGCAGGGACTCCACGAGGAGGATTACGTAAGTGCTTGTTTCAGAGCCCAGCCTTTCAACACCCTGAAAAAATAAAAACCCATCTCATAATTAAATCAGAAGTGGCAAAATACCCCATGCTGAACCATTCAAAACTCCCCAGGTCTGGGTCTGAATGTCACTATTGCTTTTTTTTAACCTGGTCACTTTTTTCCCCTACCTCCCTTGCCATTCCTGCCGTCAACCCCACAGTTCAGTGATGCTTTTTCAGCAGGAAGCCTTTGGGTAGTGCTGAGTGGCGTATCTGTAGATTTCCACCACCTTGTCTGCCAGCGGAGCGTTGTAGGGGACAGAGAGTTATAGGAGTGCCTGAGTTCTGCATGCCTCATATTTCCCAAGCTTGGTGGCAGAAGACATTCGGAAAGCTCCTTCTCATGACAGTCCCTTGGTTTGATGACTAGTCTGCTTATGTGTCTTGCGTACTGGGTCTTTGTTCCTCGCTGTGGCAAGCTGCTTGCTGCTCAGGTTTTCCAGGGTTCACCACTGCATTTGTGTTGCGGCTACTGATTCATTTTTTGAGCTTACACTGGAGTCAGAGACCTGGGCCAGGTTTTCAACTAAGTAGAGGAATCATCCAAGACTGGCACAGCAGAGCGCTCTATGCCATTATTACTTTTGCTTGGGACATGCTTGTCTATGTGTGCTCCATGTCATTATTAAAAATCAGATGAGAAGGAGCCCGTTTGGGTCAGCTACGTGGAGGGTTCTGGCTTTCAACACTATTTCCTTTACACTGTCTCTTTAAGGTCAGATATGTGAGTCAGATAGTTCCTTTCCTAGTTGGGTAAAGACCAACTTCACAAGAGATGGTCACTTCGAGACAGGAAGGATTTCTGCCTCAGAGTCCAAGTTTAAGGACACCTAGGAGAGCACTGCCACCACCCAAACCCAAACCGTTTGCCTCAGGAACAGAACACCAAGATTGGGATTCCTTTGGCAGGGCCGCTGGAGGGGCTGGCCGAGTGCCTATGCTGAATGCCACAGTAGGTTGGTTGGCTTTCTGGGTCACCTGTTCATTTTATGGCAGCAAAACTCAACAATGGTCAATATTTTGTCTGGCTTCCTCCTTGAGGTTGTTCAGGATCAGCAATCACAGTGTAAGTTGTCTAAATAATGATATTCAGAGAGCAAACGTTGGCATCCTCACACACCGCTGCAGAGTCCTTCTTGGTCTTCAGCTATTCTGTGTTTAGAATGTGAAATATTCTATTCATGGCAGTCTCAGCAAACTTTCACTGGGATGCCTGTGACAGCAACCATTTTACATTCCAGATCGAGGATCAATGCTTCTAGCTCTTGTTTGCCACCGTGGTGACTACTTGTAATATTGTTGCTCTCAGATGGTGGCTCTGTTTATAGGAATAAATAAAAGATGTAACTAAGTGGAAACTAGATTATCATAATAACTTGTTCTAGCTTTGAAGATGAGTCCATTTATATATTTATGTATATTTTGCTTAATTTAAAACGTTTACTTATTTATTTGTAAGAGAGAGGAAAGAGATTGAGAGAGAGAGGGTGAATGTTGTTCTTTATTAGTTTGCTCTCCAAGTGCCTGCAACAGCCAGGGTGGGGCTGGACAGAAACCAGGGGCTGGGAACACAATTCAGGTATGGTTGGCAGAAACTGAGCTACCTGAGCCATTATTGCTACTTTCCAGAGTTATCAGCAACATATAGCTGGAGCCAGAAGCCAAAGGTGAGGATGGAATTCAGACATTCTAGAGTGAATGTGAGCATCTTAACTGGCATTTTGTAAAACAAAGGTAGATTTATTGGGCCTGGTGTGGTAGCCTAGTGGCTAAAGTCCTCACCTTGCACTCCCAGGATCCCACATGGGAACCGCTTCATATCCTGGCTGCTCTGTTTGCCTTCTAGCTCCCTGCTTGTGGCCTGAGAAAGCAGGTGAAAACAGAACAAAGCCTTGGGACCCTGCAGCCATGTGGGAGGCCAGGAAAAAGCTCCTAGCTCCTGGCTGCAGATTGGCTCAGCTCCAGCCATTGCGGCTACTTGGGGAGTAAACCAGCAGATGGAAGATCTTTCTGTCTCTCCCTTTTTCTGTAAATCAGACTTTCCAATAAAAATAAATAAATCTTAAAAAGAGTTTTATTTATTTTATTTGAAAGAGTTACAGAGATTGAGAAAGAAAGAAAGAGAGGTTGAGAGAGAAAGATGTTCTATCCTCTGGTTCACCTCCAAATAGATGCAACCGACAGATATAGGCTGGTTTGAAACCAGGAGCCAGGAGCCAGGAGCTTCTGGGTCTTCCATGTGTTGCAGGTGCCCAAAGACTTGAGCCATCCTCCACTGCTTTCACAGGCCTTCGGCAGGGAGCTGAATCAGAAGTGGAGTAGCTGGGACTTGAACTGGAGCCCATGTGGAATGTTGGTGCTGCACTAGAGGGTTAGTGTGCTATGCCACTGTGCCGGCTCTCTTAACTGGCATCTCAGCCACCTGGGTGTCTCAGTTGGGTTCTTTGTGTGCTAGCTGTAGATGTTTAGAATTAGGTTGGACTGGAGATCATGCTGAGTTCTGTGGGGGGGAGAGCAGCAGGAGTCCAAGAGGCAGGAGCCTGGTATGTCTGGGCTTCAAGGACTCTCATTCTGACCTAACGCTGTGTGCTTCACCGGCAGCACAGGTTTTTCTGAGGTCCTGATGGCTTCTCTTGCTTGCCTACTTAGAGCCTCAGGACAGTGTCTGCCAAATAGAATATAAAAGGAAAGGGACATCTTAACATGCCTGTTTCTATCATCACTTATTGTGGGATAAGCACATAGTGCTTATTGTGGGATTGGGCGAGTCTTTATCAGAGTATGGAGATTCCCTTTTATTCTTTGTTGACAAATTTTGTTCTCCTCTTGGGCAAAATGATACCTTTTGCTAGGATAACTGAAACAAAAATAGCACAACAAGGATCAAGGATCACATCAAGTGGGCTAAGGAAAAGCTTTGAACATAGCTTTCTATTTTAGGCATTATAAATTATTATGTGACGTTGCTGCTCCTTTTCATATATGTTAGTATCACATTCATCACATTGGCATGCTGTCAGAATCCTTGAAAAGGTTGTCACTTCGACAGGCAAACACTGAAAGTTTAAAACTTTTTTCAGGTTCTCCTACAGCCTTGGAAGGATGGAGTGGCAATGAGGTTTCTAGTACAGTTCATATTTTATGTTTTTAAATTTACATTGAGGCATGGTTGTAGTTTGCTTTTATAAAACCTTTCTCTCTGCTAGTCCTTGATCTCTTTTATTACTGACCTTTGTATTCAGGTAATGCATATTTGCATGCATTTCTGTTTTTTAAGCTTTATTTATTTATTTATTTTATTACAAAGTCAGATATACAGAGAGGAAGATATTCCATCCAACGATTCACTCCCTAAGTGAGTGCAATGGCTGGTGCTGTGCAGGAGCCAGGAACTCCTTCCAGGTCTCCCACACGGGTGCAGGGTCCCAAGGCTTTGGGCCATCCTTAACTGCTTTCCCAGGCCACAAGCAGGGAGCTGGATGGGAAGTGGAGCTGCTGGGATTAGAACCAGAGCCCATATGGGATCCTGGTGCATTCAAAGAGAGGACTTTAGCCTCTAGGCCACTGTGTTGGGCCCTGCATGCATTTCTAAAACTGTGTGCCTTACCTTACTGACTACAAAATGTGGATGGGATGGTTTTCTTTTTCTTCTTGTTAAGATTTTTTTTTTTTTTTGAGGCAGAGTTACAGCAGAAAGCAAAGTAAGGAGAAGAGTGAGTGAGTGAGTGAGGAAGAGAGAGAGAGAGAGAGAATCTCTCATCTGTTGATTCACTGCCTGAATGGACCCACTGGCTAGAGTTGGTTTGAGTTGAAGCCAGGAGCCAGGAGCTTTCTCTGGGTCTCCCACATGTTACAGGGGCCCGAGAACTTGTGTCATGCTCCACTGCTTTCCTAGGCCTTAAGTAGGGATCTGGATGGGAAGTGGAACAGCCAGGACCTGAACTGGTGGCCATATAGAGTACCAGTGCCACAGGTGGAGGTTTAGCCTGTTACTCCACCACAGAGATGGTCCCAGAGATGGTTTTTTTAAACTGATGAAATTGTTAAAAGAACTCAAGAATTGGGACTGGTGTTGTGTAGAGAGTGAGGCCACTGCCTGTGAGGCCAGCATCCACTATGTCACTGGTTTATGTCCTCTCTGCTTCTGATCCAGTTCCCTGCTCATGCCTGGGTGGGGCACTGGAAGATGGTTGGCTTGAATGTTTATATCCCTGCTACCCACATGGGAGACTTGGAGAAAGCTCTTGGTTCCTGACTTCAGCCTGGTTCAGCTTAGCCATTCCAGCCATCTAGGGAGTGAACCTGTGGATGCAATCTCTCTCTGTCTCTCTGTCTTTGTCTCTCTCTCTCTAGCTCTGTGTAATGCTGACTTTTAGAAAAATTAATACACCTTTAGAAAAGGAATTGCATATAAATAGTGTTAGTACCATGCCAAGAACTTAGCACGCAGTCAGTGGTAGCTGTTATTTCTCTTACTTTCCTTTCCTTTATTCCAGGTCAGTATTTTCATGTCTGCTGCCCACAATGACCTACTCACTGCTTTCAGTCTTAGACACTGCTCTTTCTGGGGTTCTCTTCTGGCACCTTAGACCATCTCATGGCTCTCTGTCAGGTCAGAGACGTCTCTCAGGTTGAAAAGTCTATACCCGTATGTGGGATTTTCTAGTTAACTCTGGTCTTTTTCACCAGACTATAAGGTCATTGAGAGCAGGATCCACATCTGTTTTTATTTACTCTTGCATTCCAACCCCAACTTCTACCTCCAATCATTTTCTTCCTTTTTTAAAGATTTATTTTATTTTTATTGGAGGAGCAAATTTATAGAAAGAAGGAGAGACAGAGAGGGAGATCTTCCATCTGATGGTTAACTTCCCAAGTGGCCGCAATGCAGCCACAATGCAGCTGAGCCAGTCTGAAGCCAGGAGCTTCTTCCAGGTCTCCCATGCAGTTGCAGGAT